TTCTCGAACCAACGCGGTAATTCCAAATATTTAATTACGCCTAATGCCACCTAGCGGGTAGCTGAAAAAGATAGTACATAGTACAACTACTCGCCACTAGATGTCGTTAAGTGTCACAATACACAATAATAATTGAAATGCAAAAAAAGCGTAAGTTTGCTTAGGTCACGCACTTTGCGACTATCCTAGTCTAGAAATATACTTAAGGGCAGAAATTGGCCCTTGGAACAAACTGAAAAAATCATTATGGCCCGAAGGCTTCAAAGTATCGAGACCCCTGCTTTAGATCATTCTTATTCAAGACGTGTTAGTGCCTTATAATAGTTATCTGCATGAATTTCTGAGCCAAATGGTGCGAAACACTCAAAAGATAACAAATGCGAAAATGTGTTGCATGGAATTCTTATGTGATGAAAATCCTTAATATATTCAAGAGATACTTTATTGTGAGATTTTCACTAATCACTTTTAAAAAATGCAACACATATTTTCCTAATCAATAGCTTCTTCAGACGTGTCTTTTCTGCATTATCGATTCTCTAGAATAGCAAGATTACGTCGTGTTGAGAATATTATTGATTATGTACAAGTACAAAAGAACCTGCTTTTTGTATGGTGAAAGAAAACCTGAATATTGAAGGTTATAAAAGGATGCATTCTGTGAAAGTTGTAATAAATTAAATGACATGAATAATTATTAGCATTGAATGAAAAGATTGCACCACATTTTCATGTGAGTGATGAAGTTTGAATATAGTGACAAATTCAAGTTTTCACAGGAAGATGCTGAGTCAAACAGCAAAAAATTTGAGAAAAAATGTAAATTGAATTCAACATGTCATGTGGAGAATTACTCACTTCAAACACAAATGATTTCTTGGAAAATCATTTTTCAAACTAATTAACAGTTTTTGAAAACACTGGTTTCTTTTTCTATGTTGGATGTCTCGAAAAATATATATTATGTCATAATATAATGTATTCCTTCAGAAACTCAAGTAAAGGATTATGTAGCTTCAATTGATATTTCTGATATATGATGATAATAATAGTAATAATTTATTCCCAATCGATAATTCTGAAAATGCCTCAGTCAATTGTTATGAAAGGTGGTGTAGGTCTGAACCATAAGGTTGGATGGGGTATTGGTTGCCTCCCACTCACGAGATAAATAAAAGTAATGTGTTGAAAATTTGTCAGATAATATTGGACATATTACAGAAATAGAACAAAGGGCAGTTGGCTATCAGGTTACAGTTTAGATGCTAAAAAGAACATATGAAAAAATATTTTCAGTGATTTTTTTATCTGAAAACTTGTCAGATGCTTATTTATGTATTGTTTCAAATTATAACAGCCAAGCGATTTGAATTTTTGATATTCAATTTAACAAAAAATACAAAAAGCTGATGTTTCATTATGCCAAGAGATCGTAAGGATTGAATGCCTTGTTTTGCTATTAAGAATTAATCTTTATCAAAAAGAAATTCAGGGGCTATAAACGAGGCCTAATGAGGAAAAAATAGAAATTTCTTACAGTTAGTAGTCTAAAAAGATATCTAAAAGAAGAGGTAACTGTTTCCTTAGTGAATGATAAAGTATACAGTTTATTTTGGAGGTGTGCTAGTATTGAATATGAAAAGCTTTCCAAAAAAAAAAGATTGATCTCTGAACTTTACAAAGTTAAAATAACTCTATGCAACACTGGTGATCTGAAAAAATGCACAAATCTGTGATACCTTTCAGTTTATCTGTGATACTGTTTTCTATATATACATGAAACTTTGAATAGTACTCACCACTCAGGCTGTCTGTTGAACAGAGCACTTGAAGGATGTATGTAAACCACTTGACCATCCACCAGGGTCCTATATCCTTCTTGAGGATCCTTCTTGCTGGCATTTCTGAAAAACCCTGAACATATAGCCTTTTGTATCCTCACGGTATTTCTTCCTGCTGATACAACGTCCAGTTTATGCCGATCCATAATACCCAACAATTGTTTTCTAACATCTTGGGCACGCTTCAAAGTCCTTACTTGGACGAAATTCTCATAACACCAAGCATTGGAAAATTTGTTGTTTTTCCAACTATTATACACAGCGAGAAGGGTGAGATGGTCGCCTTCGGGCTGATTGAACTTTGCTTTCTTCTGGTCAGCCAAAGCTTGTTTATCTTTAGGTCGATAGAAGACGTTCTGCACGGAGAGCATGCTGACAATTGTTAAAATTTCATCAGAGCATAGTAGATCAACTGACATTATGAGCATCTTGGAAAGATTGGGTTCTAGAGGAAACTCTGCCATCTGTAAATAAAAGGTGATATTAATTTCGATTACTGAATGAAAGACTCTGATATTTTTTAGCAAACCTAACCAATTCAAGGGACTGATTGAATATTTGATAGCTCCAAATTGTCAATTGAAACAGATATTGCTTGTTTGAAGGTGGCTGACAATGTTTCACGGTGAATTTCATTAGTTTGGACTTCCACAGTCATCACCTGAAGACGATTATGAATACTAACAATCAAAACGCCGTGAAGTAATCTGTTTTGACATTTTTTAATTTTCATTTCATTTTACTATTTTCAATTTTTAGCTTATATTTATTTTATTGTTATTTCATCTCAGGTTTTTTTTTGCTTAATATAATTGTTATTTTCAGCTATTCATTTTAATTTTCAATTTTATTTGTTTTCTCAGGGATTTGAAATCATATTATATCATATTAGACAATAGGAGTTCGAACTAATGAACATTTAAAGTTAATTTCTTTAGATTTAATGAATATCAGATTTTGCTTGCATAGTACAGATACACAATACTTTATCAAAAACATATTAGATTCAAACAAAAAAGGTCAAATATTTCGTATAACATACATAATATATGATAATTTCATATTTTTTTGATATCAACATGTCCATCAACTTATTCCTTTCTACTATTGAGGGCTAAAATGAAGTAACAATAAAATTATAACTTGTGTGCTTCATACAAACTACATTGAATATTTTGGTATTTGTAGATGAGAAATTTGCTTCTACCTGGTTTTATTTGTTCTATCGGCAAACATGTTTGAAGAGATTTGTTTAGTCGAAAAGAAACTTTCTGATTAATTACAGTTGAAACAGAAAAGAACAATGGGATCCTGAGTAATTTCTCTCAATTTTACGATGTTTTTCAATGTTAATTTTTCTAATATAAAATCCCAATCCAATATTCTATTTAAAAATATACTGACATGATCATGCTTGCTTGAGACGATTTTGATAAGTAAATACATCTGCTAGATCAAACTGTTCGAAGTACTTATATGCATATACATTATTCTTACAATGTTAGCATTTTATGGAATAATGAACTAAACACAAAACTTTTAACTTCCACTACTGAAGAAACATGAAGTCAACTATATTCAAACTAACTTACCCTTCTACCTAGCCTTGTTAGCAATCCTTCATCGTCCAAAGCTGATAACGAATGAAGCTGTTCCAAAGCCATGATTAGTGATTCAACTGGTGGTGCGTCCATGAAATCAAAATTCAGCAAGTCGTTGATACCCATTGTTTTGAGTTGGAGTACGGTGGTTGTTAGATTCGTTCGCTGAATTTCTGGAACCGGGGTTGGCAACATTTCGTCCCTATATGCCCGTTCTGTATAAAGCCTGTAACATTTTCCAGGGCCGGTTCGTCCAGCTCGTCCTGCCCTTTGCTTGGCTTGTGCCTAAATAAACAAATTACTTGTTCAGTACCTCTTTCAATCTGCATTTGACTTTTGAATGTTAGAGCACATTAAATTGAACTAAATGCTAGCAGTATGAGTACAAGAGATTAACGTTTTACAAAATCAAATAAACACATGTAATAGGACATGAAATGTAACAACATGAAAAAAATACAGCGTAGAAACCTATGATGGAATGAAATCCATGCCTCCATACTAGAAAAATATATTACAAAATTATCGGCAGGTCAAATGTTACTTTTGAAAATATGCATTTCAAATGATTTTGGTCTAGGTTTTCCTAATGATTTTTTGTTTAAGTTCTCGGAGACATTTTAAAATTAAAGATGAAGAAACTCATTTATTTTCGTTGATAACATAAAAAAATGTAGCAAAAATGAATGTGACCTTAACAAAACATATTTTTGTAAAAGCGAGTGATAATAGTCTGTGCATATGCAAATTTCCAAGACTATGTTGTCTATAATTAGGATATTCATCACTATAACACATATTATTATTAAATTTCATTCAAAAATAGCGACATGCCCCAGTTTAGCACAGGTGTAATTTAGAGTTGAAATATAGTTCAAGTCCAATGCTTATAAATTCAACTACAGTAATTACAAAATTCATTTATATACAATGGCTTCCGCCAGTGACTTCTTTGGCATAAACTACAGAATATAACTAATATACTCTCATAGTGGCCAAAGTGGTCTCTCTCTTCTGGATAATAAACCTATTGAAATTGGATTGGAATCTACAAGCTAGGATTTTGTTCTCTTCAATAGTATAATTATTATTAAGAAAGTGTATTTGTTTACTACCCATGAAAACCTCAACCATTTGATAAAATGATCTTACCTGAGATATGGGTGTCACGACTAAAGAATCCATTCCAGTTTTAGAATTATAAACTTTTTGCTTCACGAATCCGGGGTCTACAACGTAGAAAATTCCATCTATGGTAAGTGATGTTTCTGCAATGTTAGTAGCAATTACAACCTTCCTGCTGCCTGGTGGTGCAGGTTCAAAAATTCGTGTCTGCATTTCAGAAGGAAGTGCGGAGTAAACAGGAAGAATGATTAGATCAGGAACATCAGGACCTGAAAATAAAATTCAGCATGAAAAAATTGCAACATGCTCTTTTTCAAACAAAAATAAAATGATCATCCTCTACATTTCTGACAGATTCAAGCGGAAGGTTTTACAAAGGAGAGAAGCAGAGAAAGTAAATGTGCCAATATTAACACTGTTTCAGATGATGCAGGTTTTTTCGAGTTTTCCTGCAGCTGAAAAAGCAAATGCATCACCGGAATCAATGAAGTCGCCCAGGAGCGCCTATTAATTTTTATTGTTGTTTTATAATTTCACAAATAAAGTTATTGATCCTGAAAAAAAAATTTATACTGAAGATACGATTTAAGAATATGCATAAATCATCAATAAAATATGCATATTCATGATAATAATTACTAATCTTCACAAAAGAGACTTCATTTCCAATACACGTTTCACTACTGACTGAATTGAATTTTAATTTGTTCAAAAGGAAAATCAAAGAGTATCTTATACGAAATTGTTTTATTCTATTCAACGAAAATTATTTTCTGTGGGGGAAAATCAGTTTTTCATCAACCTTTTTTGAGGTATTTGTTACCTTCCACAATCTGAAAAAATATAAAAATTATAATGGAGAACTTTATACAAGTGTAGAAGGGCAAACTTTTTAGATTACCCCGATAAGTTACTGCGTAAAATCAAAGTATTTTTCACAAAGAAAAATGTTCTATTTATCAGTAACTTGTTATATTTAATAATTTTGCCTATCAAAAAAAGAGACAGGAAATTATACACATTTCGGAGGCTCAAATCTGCCTCCGTCTTCAGAAATGGACAAAAAAATTCTAAGATATTTGCAGTTATTCCTTTTTGATTATTTATTTCTTAACTTCTTTGACAGATGTCAAAGGAATTTTGAAATATGAAATTATGTCAATGTCAATTTAATGCTTCTTTTATATTGTTCACTCTATTTGCACACTAATTTGTACCAACTGTTTATGACACAAATGTATATTCATAACGTGATGAAATAAAAAGAAATCCACTACAAAAATTTTGAGTATGAATGAAATGAAATGAATGAATGAAAGAATAATTCAAATCAGTATAAATTCTTACCTAAAGATTTCATTCGCTCGTATAAAATCTCACAAGCAGTGTCAATTTCTTCTTGTCCAGTCAAAAACAAAAGAATATCACCAGGCGGTTCCCTCAAATGAATCTGCATAACAGTCACCAAGCTAGCGTCCAAATAATCAGTCTCTGGCTCTTTTGTATATAAAACTTCAACCGGAAAAGTCCTACCAGGAATGGTAAAAATAGGAGCTTTGAAAAAATACTCAGAAAACTTGACTGCATCCAGTGTAGCAGAAGTGACAATCAGTTTTAACTCCTTTCGTTTCAGAACAGCTTGCTTGAGTAGCCCAAACAGTACATCAGTATGGATTGTCCTTTCGTGGGCTTCATCCAGCATAATAACCGAGTACTGTTTCAAGTCCAAGTCCATGAGACATTCTCGCAATAACATACCGTCTGTCATGTACTTGATCATTGTTTCTGGGCTCGTGCAATCCTCAAACCGTATGGTATATCCAACTTCTTGCCCTAATCTGCAACCGAATTCTTCAGCAACTCGTTTTGCCACAGACATGGCTGCCACACGCCTTGGCTGAGTACATCCAATTTTTCCCCGAGCAGTTAGTCCCGCTTCGGCCAGGTACTGGGTGATTTGCGTAGTTTTTCCTGATCCTGTTTCTCCTATTACAATGAGGATCTGATTATCAGTGACTGCTTTTCTTAGTTCTTCTTTCAGTTTATAAATTGGAAGTGATTGACGTTGTTCAATTATTGATAGATTTGTTTTCTTTCCGAATGAAGATTTTTTGCCACCTGAAAAAATCAAATTTGTAAAACAGAACCAAAACTAAATGTAGTCCGAACAAACCTATCACATGTTTTTTCCACTCTGGTAAGTCTTGTGATTGCAAGCCAATCCCTCGGACAGTTGTAGCTTTGGATTCTTCTTCTGGAAGAGGGTCTATCCAATTCTTATTTTTTCCTGATGGCTGAGAATCGACTTCCTGTTCTCGTTGGAGCATCTTCTGTTCCCGCCTTTCCTTAGCTAAAGCAGATTGCATCATAGCAGCCTGCGCTAGAGATCCGTCTGGATTTTTAACTATTCGTACTGGACTCAGATCATGCACAGCTCGACCATGACCTGAAAATTTGTGATATTAGTTCATTTGCATAAAATTTCATTTTAAAGATATTATATTTCATTGTACATTATTTATTCTATTCAACAATATTACTCTATTATCCTGTGTTTACTTTCATCAATAAAAAATTGTTTAAACTACGTCAGTTAATATTAACCTCAAAAGTTTGCTTTTATTCATTTTTAACGAAGCGTTTTAATGTGCAAAGTTTTAGTAGAAATATACAAATTTTTTGTAATACATTTTTATCATTCTATCGTAATCCACACTTAATAGATTAATTTAATTGTAATATTTTCTTGTATTGTAATATTTATATGAATTTTCAGTTAAACATTCTTACCTTGTAAAAATGGCGGTTCATCTTCAACTAACTCAATTTCTATATCTGCTTCGCCTCCATCCTCATCTTTGGGTAACAGCCCTGTATCTTCATCGAACTCAGGCAACTCACTCTTGTCAATACATCCGGATGATATCATCTGATTGATTTCCCATCGTTCAGGGCTAGAAATCCTCGTAACTCTTTTTCTTGAATCCTCCTCGCCTTCATCGATGCTTACAGGAAGTCTCAGCACTGATGTGCTACTGTATGCAGGTCTATCTGGGTTTCTATCTTTATCTTCACGCTCCAAAGGAGCATGAGAGTGAGGGTTCAAATCTTTACCGGTCATTTGGCAAACATCTTTCATAGACAGGGAGACTTTTTGACCTGTCACAGTCAGTACTTTCACCTGAAATAATAATTAATACATTCAAATATGTTGTATAATCTTGATTTAATTTTAGCTATTCAAAATACATATTAACATATAAGACTCTTCAAAAAATAAAATTAATGTTCAAATTTCGCGGGCTACGTACATTTGATTGGCGATTTGAGAAATGTGAATGACTACGCTCGGTCAGGACGCCCCAGCACATCAACAACCGACGAAGAAAATTGTTACAGATAATCGGCGAATCACTATTAAAGAAGTTGCTGAGGATGTCGTCCTCATGCCTCAGCCACCATATTCAGCAAATTTGGCTGCCTGCGACTATTTCATGTTCCCAAGATTGAAGAGACCCATGAAAGGGCGGCGTTTTGAGACGATTGAGGAGATGAAAACGGATCGATGAAAGAGCTCAAAGATATACCAAACAGTGTATATCAGAACTGCTTCGAGGATTGGAAATTATATATTGCATAAGCTACTTCCAGATTATCTAAGTGAATTTACTACGATTAACTCCCAAATACATAACTATACTACTAGAGGAAATAATATGTTTCATCTCCCTAATTGGAAAACGGCAAACTCAATGAAATCGCTATTCTATAAAGGAATCGATGAGTTCAATAAGCTACCACAAGATATCAAGCAATCTAATACCATTTATGTATTTAAAACGAAGATCAGTAAGCATATCCAGTCAATATAAATCACCAGAATGTATTACAACATCAATCTTGTTCACACGAATTTATATACTTTAAGGCATTATTTTAGTATTTGTCTTTCTTTTCTTTTTATTATATAACTATTAGTCTAGAAACATGTTTGTATAGCTATTTTTGTATTTTTATATTAGGACACGTCCTACTAAATAAATAAAGTTCTTCTTCTTCTTCTAAAGCGCTGGTATAAGTATATTATATCTGAGAGGGACTATTTTGAAGGGGACAAAATAGAAATTGATGAATAAATACAAATTTTTGAGAAAAATGAAAATTCATCTTATTTTTTGAACAGATATCTTTTACAAGACGGGCACATGCTTACATAATATTTCTACATAAATTGTTGAACAACCAAATCAATTACCCAACTCTTCTCTGTCAAGTCAATCTGCATGTTCCCCCAAGGAGGACACGTAACAACCAAACTTTCAGTCTCAACTTTCATAGGTGTAATTATGGAAAACATTCTCCTTTGTGCAGAATTCTATCAAATGCCAATGAGACCAATATTGATTTTTTTCACATCACTCACAGCACTCTTAGATATACTCTAAGTGGTATAGATTTATAAGATTATTTTTTTATCACAATTTCATTTCAATTTACTCTATGTAGATTGATTTATTAGATATATAGATACCAGAATAGTTAACTTTCTGAGGTTAATATATAGCATAAAAATTTCCATTCAGTTGGGGCCTATAAATGTTTTGAAAAATTATCCATGTTTTTTAACAGTTTGATACAAAGTTGGGATGTTACCAATGAGAATGGTCAACTACAAAAGGTGTAAATTGTTTGAATATTTACTGTAAAAAACGTGAATTAAGGATTGCTTATGTCAATTATCACAGTTGATTTACAATGTTTCATCAGAAAAAAAGGACAGAGGTTTACTCAGAACATAAATCTTTAATGAATAAAGATAATATAAAATTGACTGTCTCAATATTATTCATAATTTATACAAATAATCAGAAGCTTGAATGATGATTTACTAAAATAAAAAAATATGAACTCCTAAATATCATAATTTATTTGCGGCATTATTTCATGAACCCAACAAAAATAAATTTCGAACTGAAAAGTTCTTTCCTACCTTAATTTTGCTTCCTCTAGAAACAACTTCAGAGACATTGGTTACTCTCCCCTCCGCCCGAAGTTGTGATATATGAACCAGTCCTTCCCATCTTCTTCTGAGTCCCTCTAGTTGGACAAAACACCCAAATGGCACAATGTTTGAGACTTTTCCACAATATATCTGAAATAATACATAATATTTTTCAATCTTGCTCAGAAAACAGAATTTCATTCTTATTGTTACAGGATTCACAATCAACCTCTACCACAAAGTTCAAAATTGATCCAGATTACAAATGTGGATTTCTTTCTATCAGAGCACCTATTTTAAAACATAATTCAATGAATGTTTTCTTCAAAATTTGGAACATATCTCATCAAAGATAGCTTTTGGGTGGGTTGAAAACTAGTTATAGAAAAGAAAACAATTTCAGTTATAGTGTATATGTAAAATATATGAATATATAGTAGTGGCCGCGAAAAATGCTGTACAATAAGGAAAACATTTTTTTCAAACACTGTATGCTTCATAAAAATTGATGGACTGTCTATAACCAAAAACGCAATAGTCAATTTTTTTATTGTACAGAGAGACATCAAAAAATGTAAATTTTATTCAAGGAGTACCATTATTATTGAGAGTATCAAAAATTTTCTTAAAGAAAAATGTTTGTGCGTTCAACAAACTATAATGAGATTTTCTAAATAGAGTCATTTACACCTCAATTTACATAATTATTTTGAGTGAAGTATAGTAATATTACTTGATAAGGAAAAAAACTACATTTTTAGAATACCACAAAGAATTTCAACAAAGATTTCTTCGAAAATGGGGATAGTTGATTGTATCAGCTTTTTGACATTTTTAGCATAACTTATGAACCATTAAATATATACCAGCAGAATCTTTTATTTTTTAAAGTACTTTTCTGGTATAATGTTGGAATCAATAAATGACATTTCATTTGAAAAACCTTACTTTAAATATGCTACCCTTTCTACTATATTTATAAATAATTTTAAAAAGCTCCAAGAATTGATTTTTCAAAACAATTTCTGATACTTGAAATGAAAGCTCAATGTAAATAAGAGTTCTTTGCTTATTTAAAAAAAAAAATTTATTCGTTTTCACCATCTACATTTGTTTACTATTGTTGTACTACCACGAAATCAGTTCTGGATCCATTGAAATCATTATAAAATAAAATAATCAATTTCAAGTTAACATCAAATTAAGAAGAAAAAAAACGGTGTTATTGATGGATTTTTCCAAATTCCATGTTGACATTTAACTAAGAAAATCAATATTTCAATAAAAATTTCTCATTACCCTCAATCTCTCTCAGTCCAACTTCAAAACAACTACTTCTCATGCTAGTATTATGACATATAATGTATATCGAATGTTAAGCCCATATCTCTCAGGAAAATTGTCTTTTTCAGATAAGTATTTGGCAAATTTTACTGAGTAGGAAAGCTGAGTCACTTAAATGTCTCTAGATTTATATCAACATTTTACTTTAAGTTGCACTAGAGTATGAATTAGATATTTGAAGTAAACAAACCTTTCCAGGAACCGGGTCATCCTCAAACTCAGGGCTATTTCTTTCTTGTTTTCTCTTTTCCGGATTCCTCTCCCTCCTTTTTTCCCTTGACTTATTTCTTTGGTGTCTTCCTCTTGATCCACTTCTGTCTCTTCTAGTTCCAGATCTACTTCTACCCCTCTGATCTCTTGATCTACTTCTACCCCTTCTTTCTCTAGATCTGACCCCATCACCCCTTTCTATAGATCTTTTTCGCTCCCTTGACCTTTTTCTAGGTTCTTGGTCTTTTCTGGAATTGCTATCAGAAGATCTAGGACTTAATCTTCGTCTCTTAGGTGATCTACTTCTTGATCTTCTGCTACTTCTGTGTCGGGAAGTTGACCTTTTTCTATCGTTTCTATTTTTACCATCTTTACTTCGGCTTGAATCCTTTTCAATGTTATCTTTCTTTGAAGGTGCATCTGCTTCAAACTGTTTCATCATATCTGCTACAATATCTGTATCAATGCTGTCATTTTCATTCCCTTCAAGATCAAGTGGTTTCTGAGGCTCATTAGGAATGGATAATCCTGGAAATTTCTTGGCTAATACTTCTTTTTGAGTAATGGCAGCCTCTTCCTTCGACTGATTTTTTGGGGGTTTCATGTGTTGAATAATTCGTAGTAGATTAGCAATAAAAGAATCAGAAAATCCAGACCCACAGTCCACGAGTGCTTTGGTGAATGTTTCAAGCGTATTGTTTTTTTCAGATAAATGTATGATAAATTCAGCTGAAAAACATATATTAGGTTATGATCTGAGATAATACGAATATTTATTCAGAAAAAAACTTTATGCACTTCTTCAGGAGTGTCTATACTAACTAAAATCTATATATTCAAGTACCTGAATTTCACCTTAATGGTTGAAATGTGTACCGTGTACCCGAGTTTAAGAATCAATCAATTAATCAACATTACAAGCGAAATGAAATTGTACACATTTATTTACCTTAGTTTATGTACTAGTTAATTACCAGTTACCACATGTGAGAAAATATTCAGTAATGGGGAGTTTTTTAATTCTAATTGGTCATTCATTAAATGACCGGAATTTTCAAATCCATTTTTTAAATCTAAACATTCTAAAAGATTCGGTTTCAAACTTTTCTAAATGTGGCATGTCATTGTTGTGATTGAATTCTTGTCCTGCCTAAAAGACAGTTTGCAAATGCGGAATTGGTTCTTCCATTCACGAAAATACTTCTATCATCTTCAATTCTATAGGAAAACTGTTCTTCCCAATTGGTCAATGAAATTTTGGGCAAGAGCCACAAGTCAACTTATATACTCTCAATCTATCCGACACTGAAGTTTTGTCTTTATTGTTTTTGATTAATTTTTGATAAATTTGCTTCACAAAACTTCAGTGTCGAATATATAGATTTTAGTTAGTGTAGTCACGTTAGTACAGCGAAACACTTATTGCGTTTTAGTAAAACTGTGCAGTGAAAATCTTACAATGAAGTGTTTCTTGAATAAGTTATAGATTTTCAAAATATAACAAAGTAACAGTGAGAGAAATAAGATATTTTTAAATTCAAAGGAGTACATATTTAGGAGAGATTGATTTTTATACAAGTGCCTTATTCTGAAACATCTGATATCCGCCTTTGAGGATGACAGCGTTCCATGTAGGTGAAATTTTACCTCTTTCATATACTACATCGTCTATCAATCCTCTGAATGATATATAATTCAATTCATAGCAAATGAACAAGAAAAAGGGTTTTTTGTATAATTCAATGTTCAGAAAATACATCTTCTTTCTTGTAATTCAATGTTTATATGAAATTAGTTGTTTCAAGAGAGCTTTTTCTTCCAGTTTGTGTCTGAAAGTTACTTCTTTGCATGATCTACACATCGTTCTATTAACTTTTCCCTCAAATAAATATGTATTTTCAGGTAACGAAAAACGGATTTAACAAGGACTTTCAATTTGAATTACCCCGTCAGTACATTTGATTGAAAAATAAATTTTGTACTTACCTACGTCTTTATCATTGAGTCCAAGATGATTTTCTAATTCTGTACACACTTTCGATACAAGAGACAGGTATTCCAATTTTTCTACTTCATTCATCTTTTCAGTAGTAGGAGCTTTCTCACTCATTTTAGCGATTCTACCATTATTGTCTTGAATAATATGAAGCAGATCAGCAATGAAAGAATCCGACAATTCAATGTCATTATCTTTGATTACTTTTGTAAAACTCTCAAGAGTATTGTTTTCTTCAGATAAATGTATTATGAATTCAGCTAAAAAAAATATTATTATTGAATTTACCTACAATTAGCATTTACATCTCAACTTACCTACGTCCTTGTCGTTTAACCCTATATGATTCTCCAGTTGTGTACATATTTTCGAAACAAGGGAGGCGTGCTCTAATTTTTTAGTTTCATTCATTTTGTGAAGTGATTAAAGAAAAGAACAAACTTGCATAAACTTTTTATAAAAAATATTTTATTTGATAGTTATGGTTATGACTAGGAATGACAGAAAACAATACTTCTTCTTCTTCTTCTCTTTTTTTTTATGGTTTTAGCTTCCCTTTGGCGCAGTAGACCAGTGTCCTCCTATTGCATAACGGATGTTATGTGTTGTGTTGTTAATAGTCCACGTGAATTGAAGTTTTCTTGCGTAATCAGAACTTTTGGCTTGAGTATTTGTGTTCTATCTTCAATAGCTGGTAGGTATTCACCGGACAAAGAATACATACAAAGGTTGTGATATCAGGATTGAAACTAATGAATTTGGGATAAGTAGTGGATGTGGGTGTACCCCCGCCGCTATTATAATTTAATATGGTTATACTACACGTATACTGTAGTTAATTGTTTCCATTACCAAAATGAGACAATTGATGATAACCGGATATCAGGATTGAAACTAATGAATTTGGGATAAGGAGTCGATGTGGGTGTACCCCCGCCGCTATTATAATTTAATATGGTTATACTACACGTATACTGTAGTTAATTGTTTTCATTACCAAAATGAGACAATTGATGATAACCGGAAATGTCTAATGCTAAAGTGTACCAGCCTGAGCCATCAAAATGTTGAAATAATTTTTTTACATCCTAAATCGACCAATCCACGATTGTACTTATCCCGACAACAGAGGGGCCGTGAGATTTTTAGTTTGGAGGGTCAGCATGATAGAATGGTATTGAATGGAGACTGTTAAGTCATCAGGAGATCGGATCCTCTTCTCTGTATGGTCTGCGATCATGAAAAAGCAAAAATTGAAGCATTTCTCTCTAAGGTAACTGCCAGAGCGGCTGATGATCTCGATTTAGTTTGCGACACTAAACGAGGTGATCACAACTATGTCACCGAGTTGGAGCTCGTTCAGCAAAAGGCCCCATAAAAGTAGCAGAGAACAGCCTATATCCATTGACATAACGCGGTCTTAAGAGTACTTCACTATTTCCTTCAGCACCTGTAGGGTATTGACGAGACACCGTGTTGCCTTATGCTCCGAGGTATATTGAATGTGTTATGGGAAATAAGAAGTGCTAAATTTTTTGGAATCATTGATTCACCTCTCTGAGGCTTATACAAGTTGATAAGCTGATATAGTTCTTCTCGGCGAACAGATCAAGACAATATTCGTCGTGGAAGTTTCAGCTCCAGATGAGATGAATATCGTCCGAAAAGAGGAAAAAAAAACGGGTTATATATCAATATTTTTTTTCGAACCCTGCAGACTCCATCCGACCACTTCTGTTTAGAAGGCTGTTTTGTTTGTTGGAGTCCTTGATGGAATGATGTCCTCTTCATTCTCGAATCTCAATATCATGCTAGGTTGCCACAATAAGGCAAGACATCTTGGACGGAGAAATGCAGAAAGCTGTCATTCTTGGTTTATTGCGTCTGCTTAGGACATATGATTCTTGGACCCAATGACCTCTCACCTCACAGTGTGGGGAGTAGTCATTGGTTGATGATATTGCTGCGCCTTTCCTTATGTTTCGGGATGGGGCTTGACCAGTTCAACCATTTGTATAATAATGATAATAATAGCTCCTTATTTCGATTTGAGATACGAAATATAATTAAATAAAATCAAATGTTTGGCGTCATTCGGTTGAACTATTCTGCTATGTAACCAATCACCACCAAGCAAAATACTAAGACATTCATACAGAAGGAAAACAATCGTATTTGAATTGAAGGGGTTATATTTTTAGGAGTGATTAATTTTTGAGAAAGAAAGTTGTTGGCTTTCTACTACTCCATCTTGATACAAAAAACAAGGATGACGGAATCTTCCAAGGAAAGTATAGAGTTACTTATTTAAAATTGATTACTTCCTTCCTTTCCTTGGAAGATTCCCTCATCCTTGTTTTTTGTATCAAGATGAAGTAGTAGAAAGCCAAAAACTTTCTTTCTCAGAAAACAATCGATTAATCAACTGAAACAGAAATCAATGACAAATGTGTAGATATAAACGTCGAAATTTGTATCACTAAATAACTTACCAATTTGCTAGTAATAGAGCTTTGACTTTGCACATAATGTTGTTAATAATAGTGTTATAAATAAAAAAATATTATTGTGAAAATTTTTACTAGTTTTCAAGTACTTGTATTTTATATTTGTGTTGACCAAAACGATGAAAATGTTGTACTGAATTTTCTTTGATTTATTGTGCGTCTATTGCATTCTAATTATAATTATTATTAGTTTTCCTACCAGACTATTTATCATATCGATAGATATATAAAGATGATCGTTGTTTCTTCTTTTTATTTGTAAACGACTTTGTCAATGAGAATTACGTTCTTCAGACAATGATTTCTATTCGAATTGTTTGGTGAAAGCTATGATACTGCGAGCCTTCCTGAAACCTAGTGGAATAGTATTGAAATGTTCAGGGCATTGTAACTAAGGGTTCTTTCGAATTATGATAAGTAACTTTTGGTAACGCCATAGAGATCGCTGTGGAGAGTGGATAATTTCACTTCTTTTTGTCATTTTTTTTTCAGTGATTTTAAATACTAAACATGACAGTTTTAAAATGAATCTCTCATGGAGGTAAAACCAATTTGCAGACAAAAACTCTTGGTAATGTGATCGTTTTTACAGAAAAGTTTTTGATTTTTTGTAGGATGTGCGTTTCTTCAGCTAACAGCACAGACTAATAAACTATAATATATACCATAACTCTACTTGTGATAGAATAAAAGTGTTATATAATATATAGTACTCTAACATGTATAGTAACTTCAACTTAGAATGAATTTTTTGCATCCTTCACAAACCTTAGATTGTTGTTATTATTGTTACTATTGATCGTAATGTTAAAATTCGTATCATTTACGGTCTTTACAAAAGAGAATTAGTTCGGTTTTATTTTCATTCAGTACATGCACTAGCAATCTTCGTCACGGTATTTAAATATCAATCACTGCCAGGAACCGCTATAAATTAGAAAATGAATAATATATTTGAGTATCACCTGCATACTGATACATACTACAATGGTTCAGATAAAAATGAAAATCATCTGTGTACAACGAAAAAAGTGAGAAAACAAGTTGTTGTCATATCACAACCAAAGTATTCAAATAGTGAAGATTTCACTTATCAGTTTACAAAACCGCAAAACATTTTTGTAAACTGTTCCTTAGATATATTTTGGTAGGTTAACACTTATGTGGCTTATTCGTGCTCATCAAAATAACGCATTGAGTTTCCATACTTGCACGACACATTTTCATGCGAATAGTTTGTTGTCAGCTGTCGGTTTATTTCAATATTGAATACGTTAGTAAAAAGTTGTTTTGTATTTTGTTTACGATAATAAAGTAAACCATATTGAATGAATACGTGTGTAGACTACTCGTATTTCATAAATAACAGGAGAAATGAGTTTCAGAGCATGTCCACTTTAGAGTTATAGACAGCATTTCTGTAGAAGCAGGATGGGCGACAGGTTGCACTACCGAATCCAGGTTACTTGGGAACTCCATTAACATGTTCGATAAAGTTAATATATGGAATGCAATTTTGTTTTAGTCAAATTATAACTAATTCAGTGATAAATGAAAAATATGATTCAAAACTCATGACTTAAGACTGTTGAATGAATCCTCATTTGAATTATGAGAACTGTATTCACGAACCTTGAAGTCGTCCACACTGTGACAAAAATATAAGTGTTGCCAGTGGGTCTGAAAAGTTTTCAATGTATGTTTTTTGATCGATTTCTACTGTATCCATATAATAGCGAGTTTTGACAACCGTTATAAGTGATAAAAGGACAACACAGTGTTTCTCATTTTCTTTGCCAGCCTTATCTACCTTCAATAATAAAACTCTAAGATTATCCGTTTTGGCTCAAGCGTTGGTGTTACTAAAGGCTCTCTGGGGTACTTAGTTTTTTTTGCGTTACGAATACGTTTAACTGTTGAAATACATTGGTGATTTATTGAATGGAAAAATTTGACATCTCCACAAATTTGATCTATAAAACTGTTGATTAACATATCCTTATATAATCTGAGACACATTTTCAATATCGAATTATTTCTCAGAAAATGTTCAGTACGATTCTGTTCAAAGGCAAAGCGCAATTCCTGCCCTGATAATGACGATTAGTTCCTATAAAAGATCAAAGGCGACGCTAGGGTTTCACTGCTTACAGGCACCTGTGTTGTGGTATGACGTTGACAGTTAAGTAATCTTACGTCATTTAGCCAACTTTTTCATTAAAAAAGTTACCGCAGGATGATCGTCGTCCATTGGAGACCAGCTGATTTGAGTTGACAATAAAATGTTCCGGTGCGGTCTAGCCTTTCTGGCTGTAAAAGTGGTAAAATATCGTGCGGTTTACGCCAAAAACAACTAAAACTCACTAAAAACTGTCCAAATACAATGGAAAATGAAATATGGGCTCCGAAATATCAGCAGTCTGTGCCGACAAGTTTAGAAAGGACAGAGGATCATTTAAACAATGGCAACACAGAAAACGAAGGAGAGGAAGGCGAATCAAAAAAAGCCGGCGAGAAGGAATACGAAAATTTTGTTAAAAGTGAACCCGATCTTGATTCTGGTCCAACCAGCTTAACCATTAGGTTAGTGATAATTGATCAATTTATTTATAGCACACATATGCTAAAATAAACAAACGGCAAATTTTATAACCAGATGATTTATGTTTACTTGTCTGCATAATGAAAATAAATTTTAATGAAAGCTTATATTGTTTCAGTGAGACTGCAAAGCAGACAATACATACCATTCTGGAACTGATTAATCCACTGTCTCAGGTTGAAAAATTCCTGCTGTTTCTAAAATTGCCAGGTGAAGTAACAAATGCTGTAGATCCTTTCAGGCAAACTTTGAATCCTTTGGGCAGCCGATCAGAAATTTACAGGACAATATCATGGATTAAAACTCATTTGGAAGAAGATCCAGACACTTCACTACCAAAGCAAGAGGTTTATAATGATTATCAGTGAGTCTTAGTTTGATGGCTTTTTTTCTTAAGAAACCCAACCTGGAACCCAGTATTAGCTATTGAATCAATTGAACAAAGTAAAATGAAATATTATTTGTAACAAGAATATCCAAAATAGTATTGGTATTGATAAATAAACAGAAACATTAATGAAAATTAATGAAAAAATGTAAAATAAATTATATACCTATCAGATCTTACAGTCACACTCTTCACTTGGTTAAAAAAAATTTGAAGTCAGTTTGTTCATTTTGGGGGGAAATATATAAAATGGTAGGTACTACAAACAGTTAAGTTTGGTAAGAATAGTAATGTAGTTACCTATACTAGTTTTCTGAAGAAAGATAAATCCTTGCTAATCCTACTCAGAACACCAATTTTTGTTGAAATCTATTTTCAAATATAATCAACATAGTGGGTAAGTTTCAAATTTGAATCTCTAATAATCCCTAGGTATTTAAGTATCTCAGTTCTTTCTAGAATACAATTAGCAATTTTGAAGGATAAATCAAGATTTAAATCTTTATTTCTGTATTTTCTCGAGTTTTTCCCAATGTCATATTATTTGTTTTGCTAATATTGATTTGCCCATTTAAAAACTTTTGGTAAGTCAAAGTGAGCTAAGGATTAACAAGGTATTATGTTTCAACATGTGATTCCTAACTACTTGTTTTCTGTCAGATAGGTAACATTCAAATCACTTCAATGCAGTATTGGCTATTCTGTTGAACTACAGTGTCACCAATTATTTTGACCTGTCATTAGTTTCAAAAGCTCATTTCAATTCTGAAAGTGGTATTTCAACCATTTTTTCGTTATCCACTGAGGTTTTCCATTCATCCTGCTGAATCCTGATTGAAGTTCGGATAGTATGGTATTTTCCTCTATGAAAACCAGAACTTGATTATATACAGTATGTTCCAAAATTTTTTCAATGGCTGATTTCTGAGGTTGATTTTGTTTCAACATTGGAATTTTTACAAATATTGTTCAGTTCTACAAATGAATCTTAACGGTTATGCTATAAAACTGCTGAATTTAAAAAATGACATCAATTCTCTTTTTTTATTGGAAGAAAATTACCAATCTGGAGTCCTCTAAATTGTTATTTATTTTATAGGATTGTGTATTCACAATTGTAATTATTTTTGGTTTTATTCTTGTGTAGGATGGCTTCTTTTGAGTTGCTGTGAGTTCTGAATAACGAGAAATAATGTTAGGGTTGTGGCAGCAGGGTTGTGAATTAATTGAAATTTCACGATTAGTTCTTACGATGACAGAAACATTTAAATTTTTAAAGATAAACAGCTCTAACAAAGTGGTAAGGGGTTTCTTTTTGCTAAACCTGTACTCACATTGATTATTTTTGCTGTTTGTAAATTTTTAGATTTTTCTATTTCTTACAAGTCTCTGGGTATTGTCTATTGTATATGAAATTTTTAAAATTTCAACACATTATAGTGTAGTATAAATTTTCAAGCATGTTCAAATATCAGGAAATGGAAAAAAAGATATTTCATTTAATTTATTTGTGATGTCCTGACAAGCAGTCTGGCACTTTGAGCACGTTCATATTTTACTTCGAATTTATATTAGATATCTCTGAAATATTAAATTCTTTATCAGGTAATCCTGCCGTGTTTGCATAAAGATGTCTTATCACTCACTTACAACATGAAATAAAAATTTGCTGGGGAATATTTGCTCAGTTTGATAACCTGATAATGATTAAGAGTAAATGATTTGGCACAAGATATTCTCGTGAAGTTTATATGATTGAAGAATAATTTAGATCACATTTTTTCCAAATTCTTCATTTGCATAAGTTACGTGTAGCCTTTTCTGAAAGAACATATAAATTTATGAAAATTAAAAAACACCACACAAATAATAATGACTGCCTATTCGTGCCTCATAACCTTTGTTAATGCTGTAGTGGATTTTCACTTGTTCCCAGGGAAAATTCTATATTCATTTCATTATTCCACAGACAATTTTTTACATTGCATTGAATTTGTCAATGCAGTAGTATGGTGATGCAACTTGCTGGATACTTAATAGATTTGCTTTAGATGAATAAATTCGTAGGAAAAGTTATGGTCAGTGTTTCAGCAAGGCCATCCTTCAGACTAAAAAATACTTTCCTGGTTAATATTTTTGCCCCTTATTTTATTTTTGTGGGGATACCTAGTAACATCTGTAGAACACAACCAGATAGGCTGTATTTTATTCAAAAAAGAGAGATTACTAACAAAAGGGCAATAATATAACTATGAATGGTATCAAAAATTTGTCTATAAAAGTTATTTGGCGTCCCCGTCGGCGGATCGCTAGACTTTGATATGGATGAACAGGAAAAACTTAAGTCTTCACTTAGTTGAAAGGTACTTTCGATGTTATCCGATGTAACATGGCCCAACAAATCCAGTTGGTAAACTTTGAACCAATTACGCAACATACGAACCAGTAAAATTCATTTTTGGAAAATAAAGTTTAATAACCTCAACTCATTCTGCAATAGAACAAATCATTTTTCACAGTAAAATTTGAATACTTTGAAATTGACTACACGAAATCAATGAAAGGACTGAAGAAATATTTCTTCTCTACTTTCTTCATCAACTCCACTGATTTTGCTTTATTGCTGCTATTAGTGTTGAGAAATTGTGTTATATTTTATTAATTTCCATCGAACTTATGAAATCCTACAATTAGCTGCAACAAGAAATAAATAGTACACTATGGAATTTTTGTATTGTTTTTTGGGGTATATAACCTTTCACAATTTGAAAAATAAACAAAGCTATTGACTTCTCAAGAGAATAATGTCTAATAGTATCCAATTTTACTAGTTCGGACTTCCATTGTCGAATATGATATAATATAATTTGGAATTTCTGAAAGATCAAATAAAATTAAAAGAAGAAGAATTGGGTCCAAGTACATCAGAACTTACCACCAAACGCGGACTACGATTCCAAGAATTGCATTTACCGGATACCCTGCGAGTGCGGCAAATCCTATATTGGTGAAACTGAAAGGCCATTGAAAGTCTGCATTGATGAGCACAAGAGAAACGAACAAATCGGGGACTCATTCACATAACATCCAGTGGTCCCAAGCTGAGATCATCCACAGGAAGGGCACTGGTTCAAGAGGAAGTTCAAAGAAGCTGCATATATGTTGACCAACGACGCATTCAGCCAAGCTAGCATTGAGAGAATAAATCATTGAAGTAAAATCCAGCAAGTTGAATGCGGGGAGGACATGGTATGCATGGTCCGCGAACATGAGAAAGCATGAGTTGGAGCATTTCTCCTTAAGGCAGCTGCACGAGGTGACCACAACTCTATCACCAAGTTGGAATCCGTTCAGCAAGAGGTCCATATAAAAGAGAGAGATATTACTTCACTCATGAGGTAACAAAAGGATAAGCTGATGCATGTGGTCTTCAACAACATTGAAGACCTTGTCAATAACCTGACATTTGCTTTCCTCAGGTCTAGTTGGTTAACATTGGCTGAGAGGTTCATCAAGGCTTGCCAGGATATTGCCATTAACACCTTAGTATACGGTAGTCGCCTAATAGGGGTTCCTGACACCAGGTTCAGGCTCTGTCTCGAGGCGTCTGTGACCCTTAAGCATTTAACGGTGGCATGTACATCATATGCGGTTTTAGTCATCAACATAAGGCGATCCTAAAAGCGCTCCATTTCCAATGTTGGCACTCTTATGTTATTGACGAAACACCCGTGTTGCCTCAAGCTCCGGTTGATATTGAATCCTCTATGAAGAAAGGGAAGTGTTGAATTTATTGGAGCTATTCAGTTTCCACCCTGAGACTCGTACAAGACTGATATAATTTCTGTTGTACCAATATTTGTCGTGGAGATTTCAGCTAAGGGTGAGTCGAAAATCGTTTGAAGAGGTAAAACGGGTGAAATATCGATTTTTTCACTTGGAACTCCAGACTCCATCCAGACGACTCTGTTAAAATGGTTGTGATTATTGAAGTGCTTGGTGAAATGATACGTTCTCTACTCTGAAATCTCAAGATTATACCAGTTTGTCGCAATACGGCGGAAATCTTCGCTGGTCAAATGGTGAAGGCTGTTATCCTTGGCTCATTATGTCTGCCTAGGGCACATGATTCTCGGACCCAGTGGTTACTCACCTCACGGTTTTTTGAGTGATACTGCACGTCCTTCGAATGTGTAAAGATTTTCAAATTTAAAGAAAAGCGATTGGTTAGAAAAGTTGAAGTATTGACCAAAAGTATGTTTTAATAGTATAGTACGAGTATGTTTATAAATAAAACACTATGCTACTATGAGAGATTCCAATCTTAGATTTATTGAGACTTCTCAAATATATGGAGACTTCTTGAAGTCTTTATGTCAGCAGACAGTTTGTTGTACGCATTGTTATAAGAAATATTTCGTGTTCTGGTATTGGGATAACTCCAAGAGATCTGCATCTTAAGTTTAAGTCATCGTAGATTGCTTTTCAAATACTCCTATTTATGAACCAGTATAATACGATCTATCTCAGCTCAACCCAAAATATATATTTTTTGAGTCAAGTGGAATAAATCTTGTGGCACCCAAATATGTGATGGGATCTCCTTACCAACAGCTTTGATCATATCCAAAACAAGCACGTTTCCCAATCAACAGAACTGCGATATTCTTCTCGACGCACGTTTCAACAACCAAGTTGGCGTTTTCAGGAGATGAAGTTAGTTTCTTTCCTGAAGGCGCCAACTCGGTTGGTGAAATACGCGTCGAGAAGAGTTTTGCAGTTCTGGTGATTGGGAAAAGTGCTCGTTTTGGATCCATTCTACGCCAGAGATTCCAGTTTTACCTTTGAGTAAGATTGATCTAATATCTTGACATACTTTATTTTGTGTTATATTTTTCTTTGATTGGTTATTTATCAAAGTCAAGTTAAAAATGTTTATTCAAGTATTTTGGTTAAAATTACATAGTATTTGTGGT